ATGAATGCTGTGTAGAAAATAGAGCAACTCGATCTCAGGTTCTTGAAAAATCTCTCACGTGATAAAAACAGACCTTGACACCAGGTCCCCCTCTCCTTTGACTCTTGTGGCCCGAGTGGTGGGATGCAGGAGGCACCCTTCCCAGGACTGGACGATTCAAACAAAAGCCATGTAACATCTTAAGACAACTCAAGCAGAGCACATAATTCCTTCCTGCCCTGATGATAAGAAGACAGCTGCATGCTAAACAACTGGCATTTTACACTCACTGTTACCGTGAAAAAGCAGCAGACAGCAGTGCGTATCACACCATGAGCTGGTCCAATGCACTAATGTTCAATCTATGTGTAAACATCTCACTTCTTGATAATATTTATGCAGATGTTAAATATAAACCAGTGACAGCTTTACTGCAAAAATCGTGACAGTGCATGCAGTCACATCCAAAACATCCTGTGAAAGGAGCCAAATGCCCCCAGCAATGTGCGTGTAGAAGTTTAGTCAAGGCAGGCCACAGAGAGCCACCTAGGAATGATGCTAACTGCAATAACAGCAACTTCCTGCAGGAAGCCAGGCCCCATCTCTCCTGGCGTTCCTGTGTGCTTCCCAGGAATGCATACTTGTTTCCAAGCCAAGCAATCCTTAATGTGTCACAGGACATTTGCACATACTTTGTTTTTGGAATTAAAATGTTTACAGTTATTGCTGTGTCCGGTTGTTTGAGTTCTACTAAACTTTTATTTAAAAAAAAAAAAAGATCCTTCACTGTAAGAATGACATTTAGGCAAATTATTTTTTTGTTTTTTACAAAGTATAATTTACAATGTTGTGTTAGTTTCAGGTGTACAGCAAAGTGATTCAGTTATATGTATATTATTATTCAGATTCTTTTTTTAATTACTTTTTAAATTGAAGTATAGTTGATTTAGAATGTTGTAGGCAAATTCTGAGACAGTTTTTCTCATCTTAAGAGTCCCAACAGGTACAGCAGAAACGTGACTTCTTGCTGCTGTAAGGGGGGAAGAAGGGGTATCAGAACAGGGTCCATGGAAAATATCCATCACTGACCTGATGAGGCATCCCTTTTGGAAAGACAATAGTTAGAGATACTCAATTTGAAAGCAGTCACACAAATTTCTTAAAGGTATTTGGGATTGGAAGTGTAGGCAGAGGGGATGGTACTGTAGAGAATTCCTTATCTCTTGGAAGTAGATGGTAATACTGTTTTTGTTTGGTAAAATAAGAATTAGCAATTGATAACAGTAGAGTCTCATCAGAGACAGAGTGCATTCTCAAATCAGTGATCCCTAGAGGTGCATTTTTCTTACTTCTGATGGATTTGCAGATGTCTGTCTAAAGAACAGCTGAAATAACCTCAGCACAGTTCTTTAAGTTGGCTCAACAGACTTGGCTGGCAGTTTCTGAAATTCTCTTGGGCAACTTGGCAACCAAGCCCTCGGGACTAAAGGGCGGCTTCCCTATATTAGGGTGGTCACTTGAATTAGGTAAGAAAATGACCCACGCCCAGCAGCATTCAGCCTGGGTGTTCCTTGGGCCTCTAGAAGTAAGAAGCAGAGGCATGGCTTTCAGAGAAAGTGAGAGCTGCTCAAAGAGCTGGGAAACCAGTCTATAGGGACAGGGTGATGCAGGTGGGAGGCAAGCGCATCCCTGCTATGCCTGCATCTTGTTCCACGAGAGATTCACGAGCTGCTGCTTCAACCGCTGGGTCTACTGCTTATTATCCTGGTTCTCTGGCAGCTTTTGGGGGGCCAGCGGGAGGAGGAAAGGTGTGGTCTACCCACTTCAGGGCCAGACTCCTCAGGCAGGGCTGCCATGCCCTGCACTTTCTACAGCAGGAAAGCTGCCTGCGTGTGCATGCTGAATGTGTGTGCACATAGACCCACGGCTGAGACCACGGCTGGCCTCCCTCCAGGACTCTTCGGGGCTGTCAACAACTCAGTCACGTGTTTTTTTTAAGTGTTGTAAACAATTTTTATATTTACAACTCATGAGCTCATTAATCTCATCTTCAGCCTATCAACTGTTTATCAGAGTGTACCCCTTGCAAAATATTGTATTAGCCCCCATTAAGAAGAAATTTTCCAAAGGTAACATTTCCTACTGGAGTTATTAAAATGTTACACTGGACTTGAGCTAAGAGTTATTTTCTACATTTGAATGCTGAACAAAATTGCTTCTCTTTTAAAGATAACATAGACCATAGTGCTGGGTTTTATATGAATCATGTGGCTATTCTGGAATTATGGAGTCTACATTCTGTACTGTGTGTTAAAACCATCTGCCTGGCAGGCTGTTTCTAAGATTGTTAAGATGTTTCTAAGATGTGCGGACTTCTCTTGGTCCATGAAAGAAGCATCACAAGGCCTGTTCCCTGAACTCTCCTCAAGCCTCCTCCACTTTCCTACTGTTCTGTCCCAAGTCACAAGCTCTTGCCATCAGGCCTGCCTCCACCTGATCTTCCCAGACACAGCATTCCACAAACACAGACACAGATGGAAGAGAGAGAGGGGCAAGTCCATCCCACCTTCCCAGGGGCATCGCCCCTTACCCCTGTAACTTAACGGACTTACAGCATTACGGGGCCCTCTTCATGGCAGCCACGATAGAGACCATATTTAGTGAATTAGAGGATCATCTCCCTAACATGTGCTTATTCAGAGATAAAAAGATAACTCTTTTGGGGAATTCCCTGGTTGCCCAGTGGTTAGACTCAGCACTCTCACTACCTCTGTCCTGGGTATGATCCCTGGTTGGGAAACAAAGATTCCACGAGCCCCTTGGCACGACCAAAAACAGACCAAAAAAGTCCCACTTTTAAAATACTGGGCGTGCAGCAGCTGCTACAGGGAGGAAGAGAGAACAGCTGGGCAGGCCCGGCCTCCACGTCAGCTCTGCCGCGTCCTGTCCGACCATGTCTTCCAGCTTGGGCTCTTCACACGAGCTCTGCACACGTCCACTCTGCTTTTCAGAGTGAACTCCCACTTGAAGTCTGGACTCACACACAGCAATGCTAGGCATCTGGATTTATTTGAATAGCAGGCATTTCAAACTCAGGTGTAAGAGGATTCCTGATCTCAGTGGCCCCCACACCCCTCCTCTCCGGGAGCCCCTCACCTCAGTGGTCCACACAGATGTGCTCAGCGAGTGTGTGAGCCTCAGGTGTCCTGCCCTCTCTTCCCTCTTTAACCTCAGCAGAACGTTGTTTCTACAGACTGTGCATGCTTGGCCCTGAGTTGCAGTTATTTGTGAATTCATTATTCTGATACCACAGGCTGGAGCCTTAAACAACAAATATTACTCACAGTTGGAAGGCTGGGAAGTCCAAGATCACATTGTTAGCAGATTCAGTATCTGGTGAGACCCACTTCCTCACATGGCAGCAGGTGTGAGGGAGCTCTCTAGGGCCTCTTTTTCAAGAGCACTAATCCCCTTCATGATGACCCTACCCTCATGACCTAATCACATCCAAAGGCCCCACCTCCTAATATCATCACATGGGGGATTAGAGTTCAACCTGAATTCCCGGGTAAGGGAGCACGTGGGGGGTTATGGGAAGAGATACTCAGATTTGGGCTCAAATCCTTTCCTGCCAAGGCCATCACGAGCAAGAGTGCAGGAGCTCCCCCACCAGCAACTGCCCAGGGCCATGATGCGAGGAGACCCCGACACTCCCCCTCCTGAAGCACATCTGGCCTTGGCTCTTAAGCTCTCCTTTTCCTTTCTCCCCCCTTGTTTCTTTTTTTTTTAACTTTGGATACTCTTAAAAATAATTTTTACTGGCATATGAGTGATTTATAACATTGTATTGGTTTCCTGTGGAAAATGTCCCCTTCTACTAACGGCCAGAGTCCCTGGCTAGGGGTGCCAGTGAAGGCTGCTTCCTGCTGGGGCAGGAGCCCCAAGAGGGCAGCCTGCACCCCAGGCCAGGGTGCTGGGGGCATAGGGCCCAGACCTACTCAGCCTGCCTCCCTCTTTGCTGGTGCTGAGGGCTGCGGGGGCCTCATCCAGGGCTGTGGAACCTGAAGGGGAGTAGATTTATCACAGGAATGGGGCCCCTGCACCTGAGAAGCCTCTACCTGCTTCAGAGTAGCAGCCACCCCAGTGCACTGAGCTTGCAGACCGCGCCGAGCTGTGCCCTCTGGCCCCACTGAGTGAAGCTCCTGTCATAGCCCGCCTGTCGGATGTCACAGCAGAGCCTCCCAGGACGAGTCATCCAGGCAGGGAGAGTGGGATGCCCACACCCTCAGCCTGGCCCAGGCACCCTTTCTCAGGCTGAGGTCTACTAATAATCTGGGAGACCCTTTCTAGGTGTGACCCTGCAGAGTCTGGGCCAGTGCAGACCAGGCTTCAGAGAGCCACCATGGGGCAGACAGACCATCCTAAGAGCCGGTCACAGGCTGTAAGCTGTCATCTCGTTTAGATGCCAGTGTTTTCTGCACTGTCTGCTGTCCCAGGGCCCACCTTACCAGGCTCCTCTCTCTACACATGCCCAAATGGGTCAGTGGTCACATTCATGCATACTCCCAGCAATAGCACCAGCTGGCACTGTGGCTAAGGCTAAAAAAATATACTGGCAATTCAAAGACACTGAAATGTCTTATCGCTCGAGTACCGTCACCCTTGGGAGAGCAACTCTTACCCTCTGTGAGCTCTGGGTTCAGTGGTCTGGCCCATGGGGCCCTGCCAGGGCCGAACCTCGTCTCTCTGCAGCCTTCTTCCCGACAGCCCCGGCTCTGGCCCTGGCCACTCCCCAGGGGACTGGGTGGAGACCGAGGGTGGCTTCCTTCAGGCCGGGGCAGCCCTCCTCTGATGGCACTCACTCACCCCTTTTCTGGAAGGGAAACGGGGCCCAGAAAAATTTGTGAACGTGTCTAAATGAATGGGGCCCAAGTGGGGCTCTGATCTGAACCCCTGCTGAGTACCAAGTGCTACCAACATTTCTAAAGGCTGCTCATCTCTCCCACATCAGGACCCACATGTCTGCAGCCGTCACATTTCTCTTTATTTTATTAAGCAATAAGCAAACAGATAAACAGTCAAAGATGCGGGCAGGGAAGGACTGAAAATGGCTTTTCCTGAAATACTGATTTTCTTAAAAGCAAATAACTGTTATCACTCCAAGTTGCAGGAGGCTGCAGCTGCTCCCGGGGAGGGGTTTAATTTTCCTGACATGCCAAAATGATCAGGCAGTGAACTCCTCCCCACCCCCCTCCCCTGAACACATTTATAAACTTCAATGGGGGCAAATTCCATCTAATACTCCAAAAACCATTTCTTCTTTCATAATTTACCCAAATCATATGCACAACTGCAAGAGGAAATAAACAGAAATCTCTCAGCATAAATACACCACAGTGGATTGTTAATCTTGTAGAGTCAATCCAGCATTAAGGCTAATTTGATATTTTAAAACATTTTATGGAAAACAGCTGTCAGGCTCTCTTTGGAAAAGCCTCCAAGGTTTCGTAAACCAGGGCATAAAACCTGGTCGGGGAGGGCACTGGGACTCCTCTCGAAGAAACGTCTGCACGTGCAGAGAAGCGGTGACATGTCTTCTTCACTTCTGGTTGCTCTGCACGTGGGTCACAATCTCTGGCAAAAGGTGATTTCTGTTCTCCTTGGTTACCTAAGTAGGAAGAAGCAGGAAAGCAGATTTCAGAGTCCCTTTCCTTTTCTTCAGTTCCCTACTCTGCCAGGTTATACTCTAACAGAACAGCCCAGAAGATGACATATGCTTTATAGAGCATGACCCAGGCAAGGCTCACCCAGGGAGGAGCCCCAGGCCTCCCAGAGTGCCCTGAAAGCGGGGCAGGTGGGCTCAAATCCCACCACCAGCTCCTGCGAAGGGACGGCTCACAGAGTGAGAGTGGGTTTTGATGACAGATGGATTTTAACCAGGAAAAGAGCTGTGAATTGAGCCTGGCAGGGCTGCTGGGGAAGCAGGCTGGGATGCGGCTCGAGTGAAGCCTGACCTGGATGGAAGGAGGCCCGAGTGCAGCCAGAAGAACCACGGCTCCAGGTGGGCCCCCACCCGCCAGGTAAGCCCCCTCAGAGCAGCCTCACACCCAGGACTCCGGGGTTCTCTGAAGGGCAGTAATCCACTCCTCTCTCCCTGATTTAGGAGATCTGTGACTTGCAGGAAGCCTCTGACACCAGTCAACTCTGCACCTGGAGGATGAGGATGGTGCGGGGGGCAGGGCGCATGGTGGAGAGCAGGGCTTTTGCTGAGATCTCAGGCGCAATAGGGGATGCAGGGCAGACTAGAACGCAGATCCCTGCGCCCGATGTGTTAGCTCAGCAATTATCACTGTTACAGACAAAAGGAACAAGAGTGGATTCAAGCTCTGCTTGAGAATCTGTGTTATAGTTTTCTTTCTTTCACTACCACAGGCCCACTGAGTACAATTCAAGCACCCAAACACCGCCCCGCCCCCCCCCCACCGGAGCCTGGTCGGAGGCTGTTTCCCCAGCAAGGGGCAGGGTGGTCTCTCCTCATCACCAGCGCGTTCCTGGGCCACCCACACGACATTCAATGCGCAGTGCCAGGGCAAGGTGCCAGGAGTGGCGAGACAGCCAGGACCTTGACCTCGCAGAGCCTGAAGACCAGTCCGCGGGCACACATAAAACTGGGAAGGCAGGCTTGGCAGAGGGCCCTGAGACCCTGCGAGTCGGGAGGCACGGGATGCTGGCGGCGCGGAGGGGGTGGGGGGCGGTGATCAGGAAAGAAGGAAAGACTTCCACAGGTGGTTATGCCCGGGCTGGTTTTGACCAGTGGACCTGGCAGAAGGGCAGCAGTGAAGAGGAGAGCAGAGCGGAGACTCGTGCTGACAGGAAGAGCATGCACCTGGGAAACCTGAGTGGTCCAGGAGGTGCGTCCTGAGAGGAGATGGCCTGGTCCCACTGCAGGACCTCAGCCCCTGGGGGTGGCAGGGGCCCTGGTTTGGGAGGTGCATACATGTCAAGAGGAAACGCACAGCGGACCTCAGCGCCTGGCCCCCTGCACCCTGCATCCTTCTTATAGAGGGTGATTCTCCAGTGGGAGCAGCCCTCGGCCCTGGGGTACAAGCTGGGCCCTGGAAGAATTCCTGAGAAACAGTCTCAGAAAGACTTAGCCCCGGCCCCTGAGGGTGGTGTCCCAGGATGCTACCCACTGGTTGTTTTTGCCACCCCCTTGATTTTCCTAAGGTGATTTCTGAAAATCATGCAGTGAGATGTCTATGTGAAACCGTTCACAGTGTTCAGTTACCGTGCTCCTGGCCCACTGAAGACAAGTTCGCAAATCCAAGAACAGGGAACAAGCACAGTGTCATCTGTCAGCACAGCTGCCCCTCCCTTTCAGGAGGACTCCAGCCTTTCCGCAGCGTTTAACTAGAGGAAGGCACTGGGGCCTGGGAGGGGAAAGGAGGTGAGGACGGCTCGGGAAGGACCCCAGCGTCCTCGCCCCCCACCTCCCACCATGCCCTCCCAGGAATGCAGGAGTGGCTCAGCCTCAAGTCCCGTGAAGATCAGACCCTGAGTTCCAGGGCTGGACTGCATTCATCCTGGGCCTGACACAGAAAATGTTTACTATGTTCTAAGCTGAGGAGGGGCTCTGAAATAGAGCTGAGCGATTAAATACAGATTATGAAGACTCTGACCGAGGAAGCATCCAAAGTGCTCTGAGACTCCTGGGGCCAGGGAAAGGCCTCAGAGCTGTCAATGACTCAGGGCCATAACATCAGGAAGGTGCAAACATTTGGACAGAAGAACACATGGGCAAAACACATCTCCTTATGCATATACCATGTGCAAGAGAGCAACACAAAACCACATATATCTCCTAGAAACCACGTGGGAAGCACCCTGACAGGTTTTAAATAAGCAGGAGAATAAAAAAGGAAATTAATTTGACAATGCTCATTATTATCAGCTAATACATATCAAATACTACTAGTCTGTTTCATATTTTGTGTTCATTTTACTGAACCTAAAAATAGGATGATTCATGAATTCAAACCCTCTAACTCTGTTTTTCCTTGAAGTTTAAAGGTTCTAAAGCAAGAATTACTTTGCAAATGGGGTTTTCAGGAACGCAGTGCCCACAGCAGAGAAGGGACTGCATCCCACATCCCAGGGCAACGCCATGTCTCCCTAGAGAAGGAAGCAGGAGGAATGGTTCTTTGTTTGGCCGTCCTGCCGATGGATTTCTGAGTGAGCATACAGCATACATAACACAGCTTTTGTGTTTGTATGCTCAGCTGCATCCAACTCCGGGACCCCCATGACAGGCCATGGGGCCACAAAAGTCCTTCACAACTTATCAACTGAACACCAAAACAGCAACAACAAAAACCATGTAGACATCATACAACATAGCTTTACTGAGATATAATTCATATTCCATGCAATTCAACCTCTTAAAGACAGAAGTCGGTGGCTTTTAGTACGATCAGAGTTGTGTAATAATCAGCACTGTGTGTTAGAGTATTTCCATCACCCCTCCCCTCCCTCTCCGCAAATAACCCCACTCCTGATCACTACACTCACACCTTCCCCGAGGCCCCAGCAACCACGGATCCAAGGTCTGGGTGGACAGATTTGCCTATTCTGGACATTTTGTGTAGACGGAATCATACAGTCTGGAATCCGCTGTGACAGGGTTCCCTGACTTGGCATCACGTGATGTTAATTTCTCCAGGTTGAGTACGTGTCCCCACGTCATGTCCTCTTCTTCTGGGAGAAGATAGTTATGTACATCATTTGTGTACATCAACCACATCTTTGTTCATCACCTAATGGACATTTGGGTCTGTCTCACTTTTTGGTTAGTATGTACAGTGCTTCTATGAACATGGTGTGTACAAATTTTTGTGTGAACATGTTTCCAGTTCTTCGAGGTACACACCTAGAAGTGGGATTGCTGGGCTATAGGGTAATGCCATATCTAGCTTTTTGAGGAACTGCTGCATTTTTCCAGTGTCAGCAGCAGGGTATGATGGCACCAATCTCCCTGCATCCTTACCAACACTTTTATTTCCCATTTCTTTCCTTTAACTTCATCATAGCCATCCCAGGAATGTGAAGCACTATCTCACTGTGGTTCTGGTTTGCACTGCCCTAAAAACTAACAATGTTACAGATATGTTCATGTGCTTTTCTACTATTTTTCTATCTTTGGAGAAATGTCTTTTGTGTCTTTGCTCCTTTTTTAATTCATATATTTATTTCTTTTTAAATTATTGAACTGTGATAAGAGTTATTTATGTACCCTGGGATACATGAAGTTCCTTATCATGTATGTGATTTTTACATATTTTTCCCATCCTATTGGTGGCCATTTTACTTTTTTGACAGTGTCCTTTGAAGCACAAATTTTTTTAATTTTGATGAAATCTTTTTTGCTTGTCACTTGTGTTTTTGGTGTATCAAATAAGACTCTGCCTAAAAAGTTTACAGAGGTTTACTCCTACATGTTCTTCTAGGAGTTATATAGTTTCATTCTTACATGCAGATCTATGAGTTTGGGTTAATTTTTGTGTCTGATGAGAAGAGTTCAACTTCATTCTTTCGGATGTGGATGTCCAATTTTCCAGCGCCATTTGCTGAAAAACTATTCTTTGTTAACTTGTCCTCGCACTCTTGTTGAAAATCAGTTGATTGCAGACGTAAAGGTTTATTTCTGGACTTTTAATTCGATCCCAGTGATCTATGTGTCTGTCTCTATGTCAGCACCACACTGTCTTGATTACTGTAGCTTTGCCGTAAGTTTTGAAATCAGGAAATATGAGTCTTCCAATATCATTCTCCTTTTCACGGTTGTCTTAGCCGGGTCCTTTCAATTTCCATGTGAATTTTAGGACTGGCTTGTTAATTTCTATAAAAACCACAGAAAATCCTGCCTCCTGACTTCTGACGTGGCAGGGGGCAGGTGTGCTTGCACTCCTGTACTTACAGGAGTCTGTGCCCCAGAAACAGCATCAGAGTCCTGTGAGATTAAAACGGTTCACACTTTGTCTGGTTAAAATACCCAAGGCCAGGAGGAGTAAGAGGAGGTATAGAAATTTCCAAATTGAAGGGAAGCTGGGATGTAGCCCCCATTTTGTGATCTTGCAATCCACTGGCAAAAACTACAAGAGGAAAAACGGATTTATGGAAGACAAGTTTAAATGGCTCTGAATTCAGAATAGTAGAACAGATTTTAGTTACAGCAATATTTTTATAAAGTAGAAAAACCAAATAATCTCTAGGAATATTAGATTTTTTGAGTCACCTGAACCATCCCTACCCTCAAAGTTAACACACAGCAGGGCTACGCTGATGCTCAGGCTTTGGGGTCAAAAGACTGAGGTCTGAATCCTGGTTGCACCCCCACTAACCTAATGTCCTTGGGTAAGGCATGCCAGCTCTCCCTGATGATGCGGTTGCTGCCACATCCCCACACACTGATGGACCTCAGCACTGCCTTTAGGTGTCCCAGGACTGGGGGCCACCAGCCCAGGCCTCTCAACCCCCAGTCCTCAGACTCCAGGCATCTCCTGTCCCCTCAGCAGGCAGCATTCTCCAGCATCTCCAACAAGGAGACACTGCACAGAAAATCAAAAGCAATATGCACTAGAAATGCCACCAATGTGACCAAACTCATACTTTTTGTTAGAAGTGACCGGCAGGGATAAAAGTATTTCTTAATGTTGTGGTTCAGAGAAGGACGGAAGCAGTAAAGAGTTGCTGCTGCTGCTAATTCGCATCAGTTGTGTCCGACTCTGTGCGACCCCACAGACGGCAGCCCACCAGGCTCCCCTGTCCCTGGGATTCTCCAGGCAAGAACACTGGAGTCGGTTGCCATTTCCTTCTCCAATGCATGAAAGTGAAAAGTGGAAGTGAAGTTGTTCAGTCGTGTCCGACTCAGCGACCCCATGGACTGCAGCCTACCAGGCTCGTCCGTCCATGGGATTTTCCAGGCAAGAGTACTGGAGTGGGGTGCCTGTTGGTCATAATCTGGACCCATGAAGGTCTTCACCTCTTGTCCCCACAGCACTGACATCACCATTAAATGTTCTCTTGACATCTGGTTTCAAATAGCCTCATGAAGTGAAGTGAAAGTTGCTCAGTCGTGTCCAAATCTTTGCAACCCCATAACGATACAGTCCATGGAATTCTCCAGGCCAGAATATTGGAGTGGGTAGCCTTTCCCTTCTCCAGGGGATCTTCCCAACCCAGGGATCAAACCCAGGTCTCCCACATTGCAGGTGGATTCTTTACCAGCTGAGCCACAAGGGAAGCCCAAATTTAGACCTTAGAGGGGGCACCCGGATTTGAACTGGGAACCTCTTGATCTGCAATCAAATGCTCTACCATTGATTTATACTCCCAACAGGTATATATTTAAAACATGTTTCAGTAGCTACACACTTAGCAGTAAGCTCTAGAATAAATACGAAAAACATTTCCAAACTTCTGAGAGGGAAACAGAATTTTCAAGAAAGGAAACTTCGATGCCTGAACATGCATAAGGATGGAAGTTTCTACACTGCTGAGTCTCACAGCTTCCCTGTGGCTCTGGCTTTTAACTTTTTTAGCCTGCTCTTTCCTGGGCAATCTCTGCTGTTCCACTGCTCGCATTCACTGACTCTGTCAACTCCACTCAGCTGACTGGGTCCACCCACGGGCTTTCTCATTCAGTTATTGCATTTAACATCCTAAAATTGTCATTTGAGTCTTCCTGATAGTTTCCATATCTTTCCTGAAACTTTTGATGTCTTGGCTTGAGACTTTCTATTTTTTATTTGTTTCGAGTGGGTTTGTAATTGATCACTGACACATTTTTATGATGGTTGTTTGAAAAATCTCTACCCTATAATCCCAACATCTATGTCATCCTTCTGTTGGCACGTAGGCTACTTTTCTTTCTCACTCAGGCTGATTTTCCTGGTTCTCAGCATGACAAGTGACTTCCACTTGTGTCTTCCACGCTGTTCCCGGGGTCCTGAGGTCCCTAGTCTGCGTGCCTTCTTCCAGCTACCATTCAGGTCTTCTTAGGTCTGTTTTACGTACAACGTCCAAGGCTGTCAGCTGTGCTCAGGAGGAGGAACACTCTCTCTCAAACTGGAAGGGCCCTCAGCTGTATTTCTGGTAAGTGAGGCTCTGTTTACCTAACCCTGTGATGAACAGTCTGGACACTGTGAGCAGCCCTGAGTTACTGTGAATCCCTCCCCAACATCATGACTTCAGTCCCATCTCCACATCCTCTATCAGAGCAGGGAAGCCGCCCTCCATGTTATACACAAATTATTTCCTTATTTGGAATAGTCTCCCTTCCGGTCCTCCTTCCTCTTCAAAAATCCACCCAAGAACCCCTTCCTTCTGGAAACCTCCCTCCACTCCTGTTCACACTGATCTGTCTTCTCATCTCCAGATTTTGACTGTCCCGTGGTCCATTTTTCTGAAGGGAAGGGTACACTCCTCACATGTGCTTGTACCATGGACTAAGTGTTTGATGCAAAGGATGCTCTCAAAAATAAATTCAGGTAACTCTGCTGCTTGTTAGAAAGAGAAAGGACCAAAGAAATATCTAATCCAACTCCTAAATCTGCAGATGAGTGAGCTGCTTCATTTATAAAATTTATGCAGAAAAGTTCACAGGAGCCCCAAAGGAATGCAGGAAAGACAAGAATAACGGGGTCTCTTGCATAATTAACCAAAAGCTAATCGCTTTATTTATACATCATTAAGATCAATGATTACCTTGCCTAGAGAATAATTTCCTAGCTTAGAGAGGAAAATCTGTGGTAGTGTCTTAAGATACAGCACTTGTTTCTGATTTAACAGTCAACCCCCAAGCCCACTGCAGGGCTATTAGAGTAGTGTGCAGAGACACCCAATCCCTGGAGCTTAGCATCAGCAGCTATGCAGGCCCCCAGCTTGGAAGCTATCTGACCTGAGACTAATTGTCTTTCATGATCTTTTATTATTCACTGACTCTGTTGCCACAGAAACTCTATGATCACAACCAAAAACTCTAATGTGGAGGCCATGCCATGCAAGAGATAGAGAAGGTAACATAAAACTCTGAAGACACAGTCACGCCCTTTGAGGAAGTGACCCTGTGTGGCTCCCAGGCCTCCCCTGATCACTACCGCCTGTCCCCAAAGACCACAGTGCCTGGGTTCACCTTCTTTGCGTTTAGCCACAACTGAAACCGCGTAATTGCCTGCTCACATTTCTGTTATCCAGCCCCTCCATTAGAATTTCAGCTCCATGAGGATAAGGACTTGTGTCTCATTCATCACCAAGACCTAGCACGAGGCCAAGCACACAGGAGATGCTCCATCCACGCACAGAGATGCTCAATCTCTCACTTATCAAGTGAGAGAATAAATGAACGAAGCAACTTACAGACACACTGCTCCAGCCCTGGCTGCTCTAACCTTAACGGCTGCCAACTGCCCAGAAGTACCCCGGACGCTATGGAGATAACATGTGGATGCCCCACGAGGGCAGCTGACCCTGGTGACCCGGTTACTCGGCACTGGTTCACTTGGTGGGGGGAGGGTGTGAGCGCAGGGATGTGGCTGTCACTGACGCAGACACTAAGATGCCACCGGGAGGACAGTATCCGAGAAGAAGGACGCAGAGGGATGACGGGAGAAAAGCGCGTATGTGGGCAAAACCCCGCAGCCCCATCAGCGCTGCAAACCGGCTCAGCCACTGCCCCTGACCTACCTGCCCTTCCCACGGCAGGGCCTGAGCTCCCGGGAGCTCGGGAAGACAGGTTCCTGGGCCTGCCCAGAGCCAGCGTCGCACTTCCAGGCAGAGCGTCTCACCTGACAAGTGGCCAGCGTGACTAGGAAGAGTTTTCTAACTTAATTTCGTGTCATTTAATTCAAATGTGGACAGTCACACGTGGCTCGGCCCCGCCTGGTGCGGGAGGCACGTTTTCACCCTGGAGGGAGCTGTCTGAGCAGTACTGCTCCACGGCATCTGGAATCTGTGCCTCAACCTGCAGCCACACAAGCAGAAGGGGGTCAGTTTCAAAGGGAAACCTTTAAAGTGAGACAGCACTGTCTGCCTCTGTAAGCTCATCACCCTGGAAGAGGCACTCAGCACACAGCACCGCAGCCGCGTGCTGCTGACGCTGGCGAGGCCAGGGCTTGGCGGGGGCGCGGGAGCGCGGCGGGAGGAGCCGGTCCCTCCGGCGGTCCCAGAGGCAAGACCGCTTTGTCACCAAGCAGTGGTATAATTTCAGCTCCATAACCTCACAGGAAGCGAGACGCGCCTATATTCCAGCCTAAGAGGAAAAGCTATGGCGACCTGAAGCCACGGATGTGCTCCGGAGTCACAGGCTGTTTCAGGGCACCTGCTTCACACCCGCGGGGTACTCACGCTCAACACCTTCACGTCCTTTCGGGTTCGGATCTCTTCCACGAGGGCCAGTGGTTTTCCTTTGGGTACGGGGATGGTGCCGAGGACCACAGTCCCTGGCATGGACAGCGCCTGGCGGACGGCCTGGATGAACGGCTGACTGAAGAGCTCCATCTTCCCCACCTCGTCGATGACACAAATGCTCTGTCCCGGGCGACCACTGGCACCTGCCTGGAGGTGACAGAGACACTGACTGGGACCCGGAGTCACCCCAGGCAAAGGGCCCAGGGTCCCCCTCCCCCATCACTCACTGCCAGGCAGAGCAGGGCAGGCAGCCCCCCTGCAGGAGGCAGGAGGCGGTCTCTCCAGCTACCCAGAACAAACCACCGGCAGAGGAAATCAGGAGCTCTCCCCTGGGGACCCCAACGCCCAGAAGACTCAATTCCCTGAGCTCCCCATTTTCCTGGCAATTGTCCCTCTTCTAGAACGGTCCCAATAACAATCAAGTTTTATATTTATATCCATCCAGGAAACAAGAAGGATCCACCTGCCTCAGGTCTGAAAGAAATGAGACAGCAAGCCTGGGAGCCCTTGTTAGTAACACTGGCCTCTGTTTTTTGGACTTGGGGTTGTAGGAGTCCGTCTGCTGGGAGGATGTAGCCACTCCAGGAAGATGCTTGTGTACTTCACAACCTGAGCTGAGAGGGTCACTGGAAAGAAGTGAAAATTCAAAGAGAAGGAGTCCTGGCTTAAGAGGGAGAAAAGTGAGTAGGTTGTGCCCTTGAATCTCAGATTCCCCTTCTAATGACTTTACATCAATGCACTGCCACTACGTCACATACTTGAAGACTTCTCCAGGAACAGGTGTGGCAGTCAGCCTCCAAGAGCCCTCAAGATTCCCAGCTTCTAGGATTGGCACCCTCTACAGACCCCACCCCCACAGTACAATGCTGCCCTGCACTACATGGACAAAGAATGACCGAAGGGATGATATGCCATTTCTGAGATCAGGAAAAAAGATCACGGCTTCTGTCCTGGTCCCAATCTCACCCATCCACCCATCCATCCACCCATCCCTGTTCCCAGGGAAGATGCCTGCCGTGCTGTGAGGACACACAGGCAGCTGATGGTGAGGTCCAACAGATAAGGAACTGAGGCCACATGTCAACAGCCAGGGAGGATCTGAGACCTCCCCACAACCATCACTGTGAACTTGGAAGCCTCAGGGCCCTCTGACCTCATAACAGACCCTGAGCCTGAACCACCCAGCAAAGCCATATCTGGATTCCTGACTCAGGGAAACTGTATGAGATAATAAACGTTTGTTGTTTCATATTGCTAGATCTTGGGGTAATTTGTTACCCAGCAACAGCTAACCAATACACATGTCCTCTCTAGGAAGCCCTCCTAGAGAAAGCTGGTAGGACTCTGAATAGTTTTTCCACAGCAGGGACACAATGGAACATACAATAAACACTTTGATGAGTGCTGAGTAACAAATATATTTCTATATCTTTGTATAAATGATTATTTTGAAAATGGTATGTAAAGCTGATTTACCAAGTATGTTTCACTATAAGTTCTCAGACTCCTAAGTACTGACACCAACACATTCTCAGAATGAATGGCTGGGTTAAGCTAGATTTTGCTCAAATTCTAATACTAATACCAAAGCTCTCCCAGCGTGGCTGCAGAGGGGGTGCCGTGGTGACCTGTGACAAGCAGGGCTGGGGGCAGATCCTGGAGCCTGTATGGTTTGCAGAGGGTGGGATGCTGTCCAACGGCTGAGAATCAATGTCGGAGCTCACACATTGTGCCTGAAAGGCTGCTCGCTGTGTGGGGCCAGGAAGACAGGGGAGACGTCTCTGGGAACAGACATATGAGCCTGGAGGGAAGCCGCAGGGCACCGCTTTCAAACTTTTCTGTAAGTGGTCCTCTTTTAATTTTCCTGCTTGTTATCCAGTACATATATTTTTCTACTCCTTTTATTGACAGAAAGACCAGAAAGGGGTCCACTGTAATCGTCCAAGAGGTTCTAAATCTCACTCAAACTTCGGTGTTTCTAATACACTTCATGTTTACCTCTTAGCTGAGTTTATCTGCGTGCGTTTATATACACACACGGCTACCCTGTCTCCCTCCCAGGGGCGCAGACGAGGTGTGACTCATCTTTTTCTTCTCTGTGGAGGTGAACGGTGCAGGCTGGGCTGATAGCCAATGCTGCCCTGCACTGGCGGGCAATATAGGGAGGGAGAGTGTGGGGGAGGTCACTGTGTCAACAGATGGTTCAGAAATGAATGCCTGACTGTGGAGGAAAAGAAACAGCTACTGGCCACCTGTGTGCCAGCATAAAAACAGACACGCTCCCAACAGCGAGCCATCCCAACCAACCTGCCTCTGATTAAGGCGTGTCTGGCGCTTCCTGCTGCCCCCAAAGACTGTCCCCTGTAGACGCTGTCCTGGAGCCTGCTGTCAAAACCCCAGACAGAACTCAAGTCCAGCACACCAGAACCATGGTTCTGAAAGCATTCAGATCAGATAAAGAAACAACACGGAAGAATGCGTCAGCTCCCCTGTCTGTGTGTTTAGTGGGTGCATGTACACAAGGGGGTCAAACGTATGTGGCTGTGTATGTGAATACACGCAGACAGGTCCAACACAAGGCACAGGGCTCCCAGCCACCCTACAGCATTCACCCGTCAGCACTCACCCACCTCGTTAAACTGCTGCACAAAGATACCTGGACGCACCTGCAGACATTGTTTTCTACCAGCTGAAAACGCTGTATTTAAAAATCTCCATTCTGTCCAGAATTAGGGACTTTCTTTATACAGAAACTATAGAAATCTCAAAAAGTCTGGGATTTTTTTTTCCCATTTATTTTTATTAGTTGGAGGCTAATTACTTTACATCATTACAGTAGTTTTTGTCATACATTGAAATGAATTAGCCATGGATTTACATGTATTCCCCATCCCAGTCCCCCCTCCCACCTCCCTCTCCACCCGATCCCTCTGGGTCTGGGATTTTTAATGAAAAGTTGGGTTATTCCTGCTCAGTTGAGAGACAGTTACCAGAGGCTAAGCTACTCAGAAGCCTATCAGTCTGTTTTTCTAAATAACAATGAACATATATTCACCAGCTTAATAAAAGAACTACTGTTACGTTCAGAATTGGTTTTTTTTTCCTGTATAAATTCCATTTTAAAAGGAAACAAAAAATAAGCCAGTGAGCACTCACCCCATTCCCATCATTGTAAATGACTATCTGAGCTGATGAAGACACAGTTGAGTACAGGACGATGGCCCTGGCCTGGCTTCTTGTTTCTGGCTATGGGCTCCAGACACGGGTATGGGGTGAGGATCCTGCAGAAGACTCTGGGTGGCCATGTGGTTAAAAGCACTGTGCAGGCCATCCAGGGAGCAGCTGTTCTCCTGGCATCCCTTCCCCCACCCCAGAGCAACTCAGGCTCACTGTGGTCCTTTATGTCACGCCCCATGCTCCTCTCCACAGCTTACATTTCTGCTGATTGTACATTCTCACAGCCACAAAGAGCAGGAAAACCTTCTCTGTGCAAAGCATGTTTGAGTCCCTCTGTTGGTTCTGAGAGAGAAGCTATTTCCTTGGGAGAGAGTCCTAAAATTGACCAGCCAGGGGCAAAAGAAGTTATGAATAATTTTCTAGCTTTGGTTACACTCAGCTAGTTTGCTTTCCAGAAAGATTAAATCAATTTAGAGCAACAATGAAGTAGCTTTATACCAGCTTTGCCACGGAGCTGAAAACAGTGTGATTCTTTTGGTCCTTTGCTTAATCCTTAGGCGGCCGTTCTAAGGATACAAAGAAAATGTAAACATAAAATAAGCAATTTCATTCAACCAAAATACTGAACCAAGAAAAAGCTAATTAAAGTTGCTTCTGCCTTATTTTGGATCATTTAAATAATACCTATTTCTGGTGGTATTAGGTTGCCATTTTTTTTTTTTAAACATCAGACACAGACTGGCTTCCTGAGCTTGCCTGTCTGGGACAGCAAGTCTCAAAAGTGATGGGAGGGAAGCAGGGGGCCATGGGCAGAACACAGGCAGCACAACTGAGCCTGCCTCCCAAAGAGCCACAAGTCCTGGGGAAGCTGGAGGCAAATGGCGAAAACACAGCCACCGCTGAGCAAGCCCGATGCCTTGACCATCTTATTAAATGAAAGGCAGGACTCCAATCAGACTCTTATGTGTGTTTATTCCAAGCTTTAAAGTCTCAGCATCTCTCGGCAGTCTGGTGGCGGGTCGACTGCGTGTCCCCGGGGAGTAAAATCCCAGGCTGGTGGCCAGGATGTCTAGACGACCTGACACACCCCTCAGCACGGAGCGCACGCTGGGCGAGAGCCGCCCCCCAACCACACATGCTGCCAGAGGAGACTGGTGGTTCCTCCTGGCTGTCCCTGCGGGCCTCCCCGGGCCCCCCACACCAGCATCTTGCCACAGTGCCATGACGCACCTTGGTATCTGCCAAGCTGTTAAGAACCATCCTGGGGCTGAAACAGTGTCTGCTGGCTGACGGTCGGCCCTGGCAGATTAACAACCCCTTCGTCCTCTGATCCCAGCGCCTTGGGACCAGACTAGATGTCTAGGCTTGTGGGTCCCGTGATGGATTTACTGCCGGCTCTGGCCCCTCGTTCCCAGCAAACACAGATCAGACTGTTGATGTGACATCTTCCCAAGGGACCACGCCCATCCCCTCATCGGACTTCTCAGGAAAAAAATCATAACCATCCCTACTACGCTCTGCACCATCTAGCGGCCAGGGACTAACACACCTTACAAGCAGATCGCCTTCATTCCTAACAACTTCACATAGCAGGAATCAACACCTCTGTTTTATGATTAAGGAGAAAGCCAGGGACTAAGTGACTTACCCAGTCCCACGGCACGGGGCTGGGAGGCTGGCCCAGCCTCCCAATCGCCCTGCAGGTGATTCTACCTGCATGGTTTTAACATGAAATAAGAACAAACTGAGGATGACAAAGTCTCCTCACCATGAAAAACCACTTTTCTCACCAATGAGACGGAAGAGTGTTTTAGTTTCTAGGGTCCCCACAGAGGCACAGCCACAAAAACTCCTTTTTTCCTGGATTAATCATATTATTTTCAATATAACATATTGAACAGTAGTATCAACCTCATTGTATCATGTATGGAGAATGGTCCACTTTAGTTGGCACATGTGCTCTGCAGGTG